TAAGATTGAAATACACATAACGACATATTTATTAAGACAAATTTTTCTTTGGTTATTAAGTGAACGACACAAATAACAAAAAAAAATGCCATCCGCAAATGTCGATACTCGTACTTTTAAACAACGGAAAAGTTTTGGTAAGTAATATATTTTTATTATAGAAGAAAAAAAAAAAAAGAACTTATTGTTTTCGTATTTCTAAAGCAACACGTAAAGAAGAAGTGGCCGGTATACGAAGTAAATTTCCAAATAGTAAGGATCTTTTTATTATTCTATATTCATTGAATAATAATAATTTTCATAATTGCAGAAATTCCAGTTATTGTTGAACGATATCATAAAGAAAAAGATCTACCTGTCCTTGGTAAAATAAATTTATCTTTATTAGTTTTCTTCTATAGATTTTATTATATTTACAGATAAAACAAAATTTTTGGTACCTCAAGAATTGACAATGTCACAATTTGTGACAATTATTCGGTAAGTTGAAATGAAAAATTTTGTTTTAATTATTGATTTCTATTAGAAATCGTATGCAATTAAATGCCAATCAAGCATTTTATTTATTGGTTAATAATAAAAGTATTGCTTCAATGTCTACTTCTATGGCTGAAATCTATCGTGATGACAAAGTAAGAATAAGAAAAAAAAAAAACATAATTTAATTAACATAATTTTCTTTTTCTTCTATTATCGAGGATGATGATGGTTTTCTTTATATGACTTATGCTAGTCAAGAAATGTTTGGTGGTCTTGAATAATAAGTGAAATGATTTATTCTATAAATATATTTATAAATATATATATAAATAAATACTTCGTTTAATTTAATGTTTTTCTTTTCGCTGTTGTTCGTCTTCGGTATATATTTTTTTTCTCTTTGTGAAAAATAGTTCCTTTTTTGCTCATCACGCTGTTATTAGAAATACAAAAATATTTTATTTCTTCATGAGCCTGTAAGACAATGAATTCATCGCCTATGTTCATGTATTTTTAATGATATTGTAAATGTGCAATTTAAAGACAATTTTTTTTCTTCTTTTCTTTAACTAATATAATTAATGAACTATTACATCCAGTCTTTTTTGTTCTTTTCCATGTATGATTGTGTAATAGATTACACTTCTTTTTCTGTCGGTCTTTTTTTTCGTCTCCAATGCATTATTATTGTGGAATTTTTATTTTTTTTTTCTTCTTCTTCCTTTATTTGTACGTGTGTTGAAGTTTTTTTTTTTGATTGATATGTATTGATCACAAACAGTTTTATTTTGTATAATATTCAAGAAAAACAAACTGCACACACATGCATTTATTTTGTTTTGTTTTATTTATCTTAGCCAACTTTTTTGGGAAGATATTTTGTTAGTTTTTTTTTAAATTTCGATTTTACGGATGTTCGTGTTTTGGGATTTTTTTCAGTAGCAGATGATGATGAGGATGAACAGTAAGGTTTTTCTGATGTTGTTTTTAAATAGAAACTATTATCCCCACGTCGATAAATAAGATCACTTTTATCAGCATGAAAACCCATACGTGGATAAGTTAAATCATTATCAATTGAATCTTTACATTTTTTTGATATGTAATCCAACCATGTTGAACAGAGTTTTGCTCGAAAATCACATTGATTAATTGATGATATAAAATAATGTGGTGATCGAAGATGATTACAACCGATATAAGCATGAATATTAAGAAAAACTTTTTTTAATGCACGTAATTTTCCAATTCGATCACGTATTATTCCAATAAAACCTTTCTCTGGTAGATCTTCACCAGTATCACTTTCTTGTTTTCGATTTCGTCCAAAAATAAATCGTTTAATACGATAATTTTTTTCAAATTCATCTTTATCTTTAATTTCAATAAGTTTTTCACATCCTATTGCACTACTTTTTCCACCGTCAGGAAAAAAATCCATATTTCCACTTTTTTCTTGTAAACCAAATGTTCTTGATGTATGAATACAATCAACAAAATCAGCATCATCAAGAGATAAACGTTTATCAACGGATGCTTTACGTAGAAGTGGACCAGATGGATCGAGACCAGTTATACGTGCAAATTTAGCTCTTTTATTTGATATTACAAAGTAATTATTAGAAGCAAATCCACAAAGATGAGCACCAAGACTAAAAAGTTTATCAAATAAACAAGATAAATTTTTTATAATAATAAAAAGAAAGAAAATTTTTGTTACCTAAATCCAATACAATGTAAACGTTTAGGATCAATATGATTATTTTGTATAAATTCTGCTAAATGTTCTCCAGCTATATCAGCATTGGCAACAGCTGTTATAAAATTAATTTCTCGTGCACCTTTTTCCCAATCAATAGCAATAACACAAAAATTTTCTTTTACTTTATTATTTAGTAATTCATTTTTCATATCTTTAACCCAATCCCATCGCCAATCCATATTCCATCGTTCAGCATAACCATGAGCAATTAATTTAATTGAACAATTTTGAAAAGATTTTTCTTTCAACCATTTTTTTTTATCTGTCCATAATATTGATTTCGGTTTATCAATATTTTGTTTTGAAAATACATGAAAATATGTATCATATTCAGCTGTTCCATTGAGTTTTTGTATTAGAACAAAGATTTTTACCACATAGACAAATAGTAAAAATGGTCGTACCATTGAATACTTTTTTTGATTCTGTACGAATATATGTGTAGATATATATATATATATATATTTATATATGTCGACCGTAATCTGATTATGCTGATATGGTTTTCTTTTATGGTGCTGGAAGTGTACAAGTTTTTTTTTGTGCTTGTAAAAATTGTTCTGTTCTTTTATAAGAATAGAAAAAAAAACGATTGGATACAAAATAAAAGAGAAATATTAAGGTTTTTTTGAATCTAAAGATTTTATAAATATAATCTACTTATGAAAATATATCCAATGGTGGTGTCTCCAGTAGGGTCAGGAGATTACATCCCCTATTCTTGAGAAATTTTTGTTTTTCTTCAGCGACGTTCCAACATTTTATCTGTTTTTGTTTGTTCACCAGTTCTCAAGAAGACACTTGAGTTCTTCCTACCTCCTAATCTGGTCAATTTTAGCAAAAAAATCTTCCAGTCACTCTTCTAAGTCATTGATTCTTACCTCCTACTCTTGGAGACTTCAGGACACACTTCTATATGCCTTAATTATCAGGCCACTTTTTAATTGATACTACTTAAAATGATAAAAATTGATATGAACTTTTTTTCTGTTTTTTTTTTCTATTGTAGAGTTTCGGTGATATCGAAGCATCAAATACTGTTTTCATTGTCGTACAATCAAAAGATCGTCAACCGTGTGATTTTTGATTCAATATAAGAAAACATAGCTGACCATAAAATGTCACTCTTTCGTTTTCTTTCGAATAAGGTCGGTACTGGTTCAGGTTCGATTGCTGGTGCTCATACTGTAGCTACATCATCATCACCATACGGAGCTGTTGCCGGTGGTCATGGTCATGATTCGCATGTTGCTCCATGGGAAGGTGTGAATCTTTGGCGTACACCATTCAAAGGTGATACTGATACAGTTACACAAGTAAAACGTACTAAAGGTACACTTGATCGATATGTTGAAAATCGTGTTCGTCGTATTCAACAATTACAAATCGAAGCTTTAGTAAATAATATTTTAATATTGGAAAAAAAATGATTTTTGTTAATAATTATAATTATTTATTTAGCGTAACAAGACTACACCAACTTGGGTTATGATGCCACGAGATAGACTTCTTCTTGCAGCTCAAGGTATTATACTGGTTTATATTATTTATCAGGCTGCTTCAACTACATACAATCATTTGAAAGCTAAAGATCGTCTTAAACGTACGTTATTATTTATTTCTGTTAATATCGACTGAATATTTCTTGTTGTTTTTTTTTATTTCTAGTCGTCAAATTACTTTACAAAGACAGCGTTGATTGAAATTAAATATATTGTGAATCCATTCGTCCGAACTAAACTATAGAACATATGTTCCTTTTCCTTATGTCCTTCATGTTTCCTGTATAACAACTTAAACTAGTAGTTTTTCATTCTTTTTGAAATAAACAATATAGTCTAAAGTCACTCCTAATTTTTCAAATATTTCTTTTTTTTTTTTTTTCTTAATTTATTTAGATGAATCCACCGAATAAATCATCAACTATCGATGGTTGGAATGACCCACCAGCTAATCTTGCTTTATCTGATAATATGTCAACAAAACGTGTTTTACTTAATAAACGCGTTCCACATACAAATCAAGATCCGACTTCAACAAATAATCGTATGAACTGAAATGATTGCATTGTTTTTTTCAATATATTTCTATGTTTTTATTTTAGCTTCGAATATTTTAACAGCACCACCAATATGTTCTCCATCAACAACATCTACACCTATTTCATTAGATAATGAAACTTCATCAAAGAATGATCTATTAACTATTGAAGAAATGAATGAAATATTTAAAAAACAACTTAAAAAATTAGAAGATTCATCAAGTGTTGAAGTATAATTTCGTTAGTAAATATGAGAGATGTTTTTCAAAAGAAAATTTTCTATTCTAGAAAAAAATTCTCGAAGATATTTATAAAAAATTTCAAGTTATGCATGACGAATGGTGTCAAGATAAATTATCATTAAATACAAAACAAACATTATCAAATATATTTCGTGAACTCGATTCGAATCATGTACAACAAGCATTTGATATGCATGTGGTATTGGTTCGAAATGCAAGTTCAGAAGTAATTTTTTTTTTTTTTTATAAAATTCTATTGAATTTAAATACATATTTTTTTTCTCTTTCAGGTTGTTCGTTTTATTGTTGGTATTAAACGGTTAATACAAGAGTTACAGCGATTATCTAATTAAATTTTATCTTATTTGTTGTTGTTGTTTTTTTGTTATTTATTCTCTTTTTTTTTTTTTCTTAAGTGAAACTTTGGTTTTAATCCGGTTTTATTTTTCAGATAAATTTTTTTTATTTTCTAAAAATGTCAAAAAAACAAACGGTTAAAAAACCAATAGTACCAGCAATGTTTACAAAAAATCCTCCTCCTACTTCAACAACAACAACAGAGAAAGAAGATAAATCAAAAAATGATCGACTTATTCCATGGGTTGAAAAATAGTAATATATTTGTTTTATTTGTGTTGATTTAGAAGTATGTATTTTTTTTTTCTTCTACAATTAGTCGACCAAAAAAAGTTAGTGATGTTGCTTATCAAGATGAAGTTGTTGCAGTACTTACAAAATGTTTAGCTGGTAGTGATGTAAGTTTTATAGAAGAAAGAATAGACTTTTTCTTTGAATTATCCAATTTTATTTAGTTTCCTAATTTGTTATTTTATGGACCACCAGGTACTGGAAAAACAAGTACTATTTTAGCAGCAGCTCATGAACTATTTGGGTAAATAATTTTGATAAATGAAAGCGATTTAGTAAAATTTTTTTTTTGTTCATCACATTAGACCTCAATTATTTCGTGATCGAGTTATGGAATTGAATTCATCTGATGAACGTGGTATTAATGTTATACGTGAAAAAGTTAAAAAATTTGCACAATTTTCAGTTATTACAACACGTTCTGAGTAAGAAAGGAAAATAATGATTTCTTTGTAATAATTTCATCAAATTCTAGTGGTATGTATTGTCCACCATTTAAATTGGTTATTCTTGATGAATGTGATTCAATGACAAAAGCAGCTCAAGTAAAAGAGATAATTTTTTATATGATTATAATCATTATTAATAATTTTTCTTAGGCAGCTCTTCGTCGAACAATGGAACGTGAATCTAAAACAACAAGATTTTGTTTAATTTGTAATTATATTAGCCGGTAAATATACTTTTAGATAGTATATTGATTTAATAATAAATCAATATTTCTCTTAAAGAATAATCGATCCAATAACAAGTCGTTGTGCAAAATTTCGTTTTAAACCATTAAAAGATAGTATTATTGAAAAACGTTTACAGACTATTTGTAATAATGAAAATGTTCAATATGAACCAGAGGTTTTTATTTTTATAATTAAATATATTTAAATTTTGTTTAATATATTAGGCAATAATTGAATTAGTGAAATGTACTGAAGGTGATATGCGTAAAGCAGTAACATTTTTACAAAGTGTTGCTCGTTTTCGTACAAATATGACAATAACAGTAGCTGATGTACATGAAATAACTGGTGTACGTAATTAAATATAATATAAATAAAATATAGAAGAATTATTTATATATGTATAGATTATTCCAGAGAGTGTTATTGAAAATCTTTATCAAGTATGTCATTCTGGTTCATATGAAAAATTGGCAACAACAGTTAAGGTAAAAATAAATCTATGATGTCTTATTTTGAGAATATCATTTTTTTTCTTTTCATTAGAATGTATTATTAGAAGGTTATGCAGCTCATCAATTATTATTACAATTACATGATTATATTTTGGGACAAATGGCATTAGGTAATGAACAAAAAGCAATTATTTTTGAAAAAGCAGCTGTAAGATAAAATTAATAAAAGAAGATAATTTTTGTGAAAACTTGATTTTTTTTTTGTTTATGTTAGATTGTGGATGGATGTTTACTTGATGGAGCTGATGAATATTTACAAATGATGGATTTTCTTTGTACGGTGATGCATCAATTATGTCGATCATAAATAAAATAAAGATTAGATTTTTCATGTCAGATATAGATCAAAATATATATTTTTTTTCCTCAGAGATTGTGTAGATTTTTTTTTCTGTTCTTAAATAAATGGTTGAAGATGATATTAGGTAAAGTCAAGAATCAATAATTGGCAATCTTTCAAATATGTTGCAAAACAATGATATCATGTTTGGATTTCGATAAATGTTACTCATTACTATTGAGTTTTTCTTTGTATGATTGTCATTATGTTTTTTTTGTCTCAGTTATCTGATAAAGTTCTGTATTCAATCTTACTGTATACATTATCAATCATCTCTTATAAGTAATAGAAGATAACGTGTCTATGATCATTAGCTAAATCTATTTCCACTCGCAAAATATTTGCATCAGCTATTTGATCTTTGATACCAGAATCAATTATCGGTCTTTTTTTCTGCTGAAAGGAAAATAGATATATGTGCACAGTTATCCAACCTTATGTACGTGTTACTAACCTTGCTTATTTATTATTCATAAAGCAGAAGAAAGCCACAAGAAACAGAAGGATATAATAACGAGGATATTTGCTGTTTTTTTTCTTCATATCTCTCTAATAGAAACTGTCATACTATAACCGAAGCTGTAGTGTTAGCTCGTAATTACTTCTTGTTGTACATAGTTTGTTAAGTTTGTTTTTTTTTGCTTGAAGGAAACAATCAATATGTTTTTGAAATATTTTTATTTGATTATCTGTCTAAGTATTATTGTCAATGTAAAATCTCAGTTACCTTCTGATGACTATGATGACTATGATGCACAACAACAAATAGGAACAGGTAATTATTAATTTTTTTCGATTTTCATTTGCATATGATATATAATGATTGTAGAACCACTTGTTTTCTATCGTCGACCACAATCAACACAAACTGCTATTGGTAGTAATGCAATTTTTTACTGTAGTTCATCATCAAGTCCAATCATATGGTTTAAAGTATATTATTATATTATAATACTAATAAATAATATTTAGAAATTGTTTTGTTTTTTGTAGAATGATACACCGATAGGTGTTAGTTCAAAATATATGATAACTAGTCAATATCTTCAAATTGTAAATGTTGATGAAAATGATGAAGCAATATATGCTTGTACAATACGTAATGCAGTTGAAATGAAAACAGCATCAGCAAATTTAACTGTACTTTGTAAGATAAAAGATAATTTTCTTTTAATTATATTTTTTAACTTCTATTCAAGTTGCTCCTCGATTCACTCCATTACCGGATACATATCGTGTTGGCTTAAAAAATTTATCTATTGAATTATATTGTCGAGTTCGTGCAAATCCGAGACCTACAATTACATGGCAGAAATCTCGTATGTATTTAAATATATATATATTTATATATGCAATTCTAGTATCTATTATGAAATTAGATATAACCATCCGATCATCACATCGTATGCGGTTACTTAATGATAGTCAAATTTTACGTATAAATAAATTACGAAGTGATGATGCAGGCGTTTACACTTGTGTTGCAGAAAATTCTCTTCGACGTATATCAGCATCAACTGATGTTCGTGTTGAAGATCCTGGTAAAAGTTTTCTTTTTTAATTAATTTTTTTAAAAAATCTTTATTCTATATAGTACCACCATTGTTTTCTCGACGTATGTCAAATTTAACAACATATGATGGTGCATCAGTTGAACTCGAATGTACAGCTACTGGAGATCCACAACCAAAAATTGAATGGTTTCGAGATAGTATTCCTGTTCATTATAGTGTTCAATATATATTAAAAGAAGATGGTTCACTTTTACTTCCACGTGTCACTGCTAATCAATCCGGTTATTATACATGTCAAGCATCAAATTATGCTGGAAAAGAAATTCATTCATTTTGGGTAACTGTTGTTAGTAAGTTTGAAATAAAATATATATTTCCGAATAAAAAAATGAATATATTGTTTTTTAGATGATAATCAAATAACTGATGAACTTATTGATCGTCTTGTCCAACAAGCATCAGCAGAAGTTAATCGTGCAGTTGCAGAAACCGTACGTCATTTACAAGATCGTCGTCGACCACGAACACCAGGAGATTTAATGTCATTAATGAAATTTCCTAAACCATTACAATTAACCTTAGCTAAAACAGAAGATATTTTTGAACGTGCACTTGATCTTGTTCATCGTTATGTTGATAATATTACATTTGCAAGTGAATATTCAAGAAATGAAATTCGACCTAATGGTAATTAATTTAGAAGAACAAAAATAAAAATTATTTGAAAAAAGAAAATTTCTTCTTTAGATTTTCGACCTGATCATTATCTTACAGCTCGTCAATTAGAACGTCTTGCACTTGTAGCTGGTTGTGTAGTGCATCAATTAAATTCTCATTGTAATGAAAAATGTATGGCATATCGTACAGCCGATGGTACATGTAATAATTTAAAAAATCCATTTTGGGGTGCTTCATTAACAGCTTTAACACGTTGGTTACATGCACAATATGAAAATGGTTTTAATACACCACGTGGTTGGAATGAAAGCAAATTATATAATGGTTATGTATTACCATCAGCACGTGAAGTATCAGCAAGATTAATAGCAACTAAAACTATTACACCTGATCCAGCTTTTTCTCATATGCTGATGCAATGGGGACAATTTCAAGGTAAAAAGAAAATCTATATTTGAAAATATTTATTTTCTTATCACTAATTTAATTATATAAAAAATAGATCATGATATGTCATTAACAGTACAAGCAACAAGTAATACACGTTTTTCTGATAGTCTTCGTTGTTTATCATCATGTTCATTTGAACCTCCATGTTACCCTATACGTGTTCCTGATGATGATCATTTGCGTGCAGAACGTGGTTCATGTCTTGAATTTGTACGATCAGCTGCTATATGTTTAAGTGGTGAAACATCATTTCTTCATTTACCATATCGACGTGAACAAATTAATTCTTTAACATCATTTTTTGATGCATCAAATGTTTATGGTTCGACTGTACAGGACGCTTGGGATTTAAGAGAACGTAGTTCAGGAAAAGGTCTTCTTAGAATTCATACGTAAATTAATTTAAAAAAAATTTAATATATATATATAAATCATTTATTCTTTCTCTAAAGTACACCTCAATATCCAAAAGGATTACTTCCATTCAGTACTGATACACCAGTTGACTGTCAACGTGATCGACAAGCATCACAAATTGGTTGTTTTCTTGCAGGAGGTATTTACAAAAGAAATTTATTTTATCTATTTATTTATTTTTCATTATAAAAAGATCATCGAGTAAATGAACAAGTTGCTTTAATTGCAATGCATACTCTTTGGGTACGACAACATAATCGTTTAGCTAAACAACTCAGTTCAATGAATCCAAATTGGTCGGATGAACAAGTTTATCAAGAAACAAGAAAAATTGTTGAAGCACAATTACAAATTATAACATATAAACATTGGTTACCATATATTGTCGGTGATGAAGGTATGAATATGCTTGGATCATATAAAGGATATAGTCGAAATGTTAATCCAACAGTATCCAATGTATTTGCTACTGCTGCATTTCGGTATAGACAATTATATTTAAATGAAATTCAATAAAATAATATTTTTTTTTAAAGTTTTGGTCATGGTTTAATTAATCCAGTATTTTATCGTTTAAATGCAAGTCTTGAACCAATCTCTGAAGGAAATCTTCTTCTTCGTGATGCATTTTTTTCTCCATGGCGTGTTAAAGAACAAGGTGGTATTGATCCATTATTACGTGGAATGTTTGGTGTATCAGCTAAAATAAAATTACCTCAACAAATTCTTAATGTTGAATTAACTGAACGTTTATTTCATGTCACACGTGCTATATCACTTGATTTAGCTGCAGCAAATATTCAACGTAGTCGTGATCATGGTTTACAAACATATACAGCATGGAGAAAATTTTGTAATTTAACACCAAATGATATCAATGATTTTGAGGATTTACGTTATGATATAAGTGATCAACAAACACGTGATACATTACGCGATGTTTATAAACATGTTGATAATATTGATGTTTGGGTAGGTGGAATACTTGAAGATAATTTACCTGGTGCAAAAGTTGGACCACTTTTTCGTTGTTTAATTATTAAACAATTTAAAGCACTTAGAGATGGAGATAGGTAATGATTTGTTTAATGATTGACATCAAACAAAAATGAATTATATATTGTAGATATTGGCATGAAAAATCTGGTATATTTACACCTCAACAAATGAATTCATTAGAAAAAACTTCATTAGCTAAAGTGCTTTGTGAAAATGGAGATCGTATTGAACAAGTACCACGCAATGTATTTTTAAATGCAATGTATCCACGTGATTATGTACCATGTTCACATATAGAAGATATTGATCTTGAACCATGGCGTGGATGTTGTAATCAAAATATGGCTGGACCTAATGCAGGTAAGACAATATGATTTGGCATTTTTTAAAATAATCAAGTAAATATTCTTTTCTTCTAGTTTGTAATATTCCGGCAATACTTTCATATGATCCCTTTCCTAATTATGAACCATCCAGATCTGCTACTAATGCACGACAAAAAAGAGAAATTATAGAACAAAATCAACAAGAAGAAATAGAAGATGAAACAATAACAAAAGATGATCAATTAGAATTAGAAAAACTTCGTCAACAAGTCGATGATGTTTTAAAGAAAGTTAGAATAATTAATTTTTTTTTGTTTTATTTCAATAAATGATTTATTCTTTTTCTGATTAGTTTGCAACTTTTGATAAACGTTTAACGACTGGTACACATTGTTATGATCAAAATACAAGAAAATTACATAAAAATGGCACTAAATGGCATGTTCATAAATGTCTTGTTTGTCAATGCAAAGTATAGTCAATACTTATATATATATATGTATTTTAAGTTCAAACAATGATCTTTTGGTTTCAGGATGCAACAAGTTTATGTGAAATTATCTGTTAATCGTCGTTATTTTCTTCATTTATATTAACAACAATATCCAACTTGTCATTAAGATATATCTGATCAATATTAACAAAAAAAGAAATAGAATGAAAAATATTAGTTTAGATTTTATTAGTTACATAAACAATACATCAGACATACATCAATATAGAGATTGAGTAAACTAGAAATAAAATAATAGAGAATATATAATCTAGTTTTTAAATTTATATTTTATCAACCAAAGTTTGTTTGTTTGATTTTCTTAACGTTGACCAATGACATTTTTTTAATTGCCAATAAATTGTTTTCAAAAGTTCAAGATATAATTAAGAAATGTTTCCGAACTGTTTGTCGACAAGAATATGTCACTGAAAGAGTAAATCAATTTGATAAAGCAGAAAAATATATGATGCAAAAGTAATGAAATAAATACGTAGGTGAAGTTAGCACCAGATTCGAGTAAATCCCGCCACGATTCGCCCAGGAACATGTTCCAACTGTCCCAAGGTGTGTTTCAAGTACAACTCGATGAGCTCTATCGAATGGTGTATTCCAATTCCCGATAGCTAATAAAACACCGTCCACGAAAATCAGAAAATACTAGATTTTCACCATAGGTGATTTTGCATCCATCCACTAAAATCCGCCAAGATTCGCTCAGGAGCATGTTCCAAGTGTTCCATTCGTGTTCCGAGTACAACTTGACGCGCTCTATCGAATGGCGTGTTCAGATTTTTCATAACCCAAACTGAGTCTGAGAAAATTTGATAATACTAGAGTATCAGCACAAAAACTCTCGATTTTAGGCAGTAAAACCCGCCAAGATTCGCCCAGGAACATGTTCCAAACTTTCCACTGGTGTTTCGAGTACAACTCGATGAGCTCTATCGAATGGTATATTCCGATTCCCGATAGCTCAAACCAAATCCAAGAAAATCAGAAAATACTAGATTTTCACCATAGGTCAGTTTGCATCCATCTACTAAAACCCGCCAAGATTCTCTCAGGAGCATGTTCCA